TGGCTGGCACCTTAGCCACTTGAGCCACAGGTGCCAAGCCAGAACCGCTGCTTTAAACCTTGGAGTTGGAGGCAAAGGCCACAAAGGTCACCCAAAGCAGAGTCTGTGCATAGTGATGTCTGGCCACAGGGGTCCTAACAGTTGTGCTCTACACCCACGCCCACCCACTATCTTGAAACACACTGCTCCTTTGTTCCAAGGGCACCTTCCCTTTGGACTGAAGGCAAGTCTATCTGCTTGAACACTGGTTGTTACCTTGACAGGGAGGACAAGAGGCCCAGGCTCCATGCCTGCTGGCATGAAGGCCATAGATGCCAAAAAGATAACAGCTCTGTGCCAGGGTCTGCAGTGGCTGGTGGGAATAGGGCAAGTGCTGTTCTGAGAGTAGAAGTGAGGACAACACAGACTGGGCTGTTTTTTCTTTGAGACAGTGTCTCACTCTGCTGCAGCAGCTAGAGTGGCTTGGCCTTAGTCTACTGCACAGCAACCTTAAATTCCTGGGTTCAAGTGATCCTCCTACCTCAGCCTCCCAAGTAGCTGTGACTAGAGACACCCACCACAATGCCCAGTAAATTACTGCTATTCTTTTTTTTTTAAATTAAATCATAGCTGTGTATATTAATGCAATCATGGTATTGCTATTCTTTATAGAGATGGGGTCTTGCTCTTGCTCAGGCTGGTCTCAACCACCTGGTCTGGAACAATCTTCCTACCTTGGCATCCCAGAGTGCTCAGAATACAGATGTGAGCCACCATGCTGGCCTTTCTTTTTTTCTTTTTCTAAGGCTAAAAAAGCAGTGGGGCAGAAAGTTTGGGCTCAATTCCTTGAAGCATTTTTAGCTATTATTCTCTCACTATAGGACAGTTTGTAGCCTAGGAACCGGAAGGCAGCAGCCTCACCTTTTTGGCCACCTGGTTAGAAGACCCGGGACACTGAATTTAGGGCCCAGAGCACATGTGAAGAGGGGTCTGACAGGTGTATGGCTGCTCTGCCCACTTGAAGCCACATTCCTTCTGTGGTAACATGACACTGCTTGGAGCTGGCACACCTCCTAGTGCCTACCCTGGCTACATGTGGCCCCAAGACTAAGCTCGATGCAAAGGTGGACATGGTAGGTGAAGGGTCATAGGGATGAGGGCAGCACCAAGGGAGCAGCAGAGACGAGACAGGCGCCAGGCTCTGCTGTGATCTTGTGAAACAAAGAAAGTACCCCAGTGATCCGAGCCTGACCCTCTGCCTCTGGGTTACTCATCTGAGAGAGAAGTGACCCTCTGTATTTCCTCCATTGCTACCTGCCACCAAACCTACTCCTCAGCCACTGAACCCAATAGCCACCAGTCAGCCTGGAAAGCACTGCCCAAGGGAAATGCCATGGAGGCTGATATAGGAATGCTCTCAAATGCAAAGGAGGTGTTGGGAGTGGTCTTTGACGTCACTTCTAAAGGCAAAGCCAGGATAACTGAGGTTGGTTAAAAGAAAGCAGGTTCAGATGAAATGTAAGGGGATGTGACGTGATCTGGCAGAGGTGTTGGGGTACAGGAATGATGCCCATGTGGGTGAAGTGGGCTCTGCAGGGGCATCAGTGGGGGTGTGAGACCCTCCACCTCCAGAATTATAGGAACTTTAGCAGCTGATTGCACCCATCCCCCATCATCCCATTGCCCTCAGGAGCAGGGACACACAGTCCAGCCTGGGCCTGCAAGAGGGAAGCCACATTTGGGCCAGAACGAGCTGCCCTGCAGAATAGCCACCCACATGTGAAGTCAGTGCCATCCCTGCCTGCAGACTGCCACTCTGCTTAGGCGCTCCATTCTCTAACCACCTGAGACACTCAAGGACCAACAACGATAAGCATATGAAGCACAGGTGCTCTTGAGCCCAGGGAGGGCAAGCATGTCCTACTAGATGGGCGGGGTGTGTATCTCACCGGGTGCAAATGACCATGCAGGCAATGCCCAGCAGCTGCAGCCGGTACCGAGGCACCAGCCTCCTCCGCAGGTAGCGGTCCACACACTCCACAGTCAGGTGAAGACACAGGCTTGTGAAGTCCTTCATGGTGGCCACTTCTACCAGCCAGTCAATCAGAATGTACCTGTGGGAAAAGTCCAACTCCTGAACACCAGTGCAAGTGGTCTCCAAGCGCCCTGTCTCCAGTTTCCTCTGGGGCTGCCTGGCTGAGTGAGCAAGATGGTAACATGTAGAATCACAGAACACAGGCTGGAAACACCATGTACAGAAGCCAGGGAGGCCCTGTGGGTCATGCCCCTCAAAGCAAGCCCTGAATCTCCCCACTTTATTCCTGGGCAGTGGCATGCCCTCCACCTCCACACCCTGCCTCCCTCTCCCAGGCCTGTGCATTCCCAGCACTCACACATGCCAGCACCTAGGGGCTTTGAGCCAGTGCAAAGTGAAAAGGCTCAAGTCCTCAGCCTCTCACTACACTGGGATTACCCAACTCTCTAGGTGTCCAGGTGGGAGGTAAGGTAGGCCGTGTTGTGGGAGAGAAAGGTCACTCCAAAGCAGCAAGAGCTTTGATTCTTCTGTAAACCTGAACTCCTTCATGGGACAATTTGCTCAATGGGATCATTTCCTTAGGTTTTTTTTGTTTGTTTGAGACAGAGTCTCACTCTGTGCCCTGGGCAGAGTACCACGGCATTACAGCTCACAGCAACTTCAAACTCCAGGGCTCAAGTGATCCATCCTCCTGCCTCAGCTTCCTGAGTAGCTGGGATTACAGGCACATGCCTCAGTGGCCAACTAGTTTTTCTTTTTTTTTTTTGAGACAGAGTCTCACTATGTTGCCTTCAATAGAATGCTGTGGCATAGCTTACAGAAACCTCAAACTCTTGGGCTTAAGTGATTCTTTTGCCTCAGCCTCTCAAGTAGCTGGGACTACAAGCATCAGCCACAATGCCCTGCTATTTTTTGTTGCAGTTGTCATTGTTGTTCAGCTGACCTGGGCCGGGTTCGAATCTGCCAGCCTCTGTGTATATGGCTGGTGCCATAACCACTGTGCTATGGGTGCTGAGCCTAGTTTTTCTATTTTTAGTAGAGACTAAAGACTAAAGAGGGGTCTTGCTCTTGTTCAGGCTGGTCTCCAACTCCTGAGCTCAAGCAATCCATGGGCCTCAGCCTACCAGACTGCTAGGATTATAGGCATGAGACACCATGTCCAGCCCACTGGGGTCATTTCTCACAATCTCCACAACACAGCAAGGTGCCAGGGACTTGCTAAAGCAAGAGCCACTGAAGTGGGGGGCTGGAGTTCTCAGCCCCACTCACCCAGCAACCTTGTCAAACACTGGAGGGCTGACAGACCAAGTCCCTCTCCACAGGGAGACAAAGCCCAGCAACCAGGAACTCAAATGGTCACAAGAAAACCCCAAAGGCTGTCCGAATATGGTAAAACCTTTCTGAGCAAAGGAGATGAGACACTTGTCTCAAAACAAAGGGGACAGAAAGTGAGAGAGAATGGTGATGAAGCTGGAGACAGGTAGACAGGCAGATAATAGGTGTCAGCCTAGGTGGAAGGACCTCCAAGGGTAGGAGATAGGATGAGGAGACAGGCCAATTGATGTGGGGCACAGGAGAAGCAGACAAGTCTCTATTTCCCCAAACATTTGAGGTTTACCTGGAGGCCACTGTGAACAGACAGGGAACCTCCCTAAGTAGATGGAGTTGACAAGCTTAATGATCCAACCTCTAGAAACAGACCACTGAACTGTGTATTTTAAAATGCTTAAATTATTTGTTAACACCCTCCCACACTTAAAATGAGTTACAACAGTACAAAAAAAAAAAAAAAAAGGCAGCCTAAGGGAGTTAGAAAGTGTTGTCAGCATACTTCTTCCAACAGAAAGAGGGAAGAGCTAAGAGAGAAAGGGACAGAAGTGGGGGCTGCCTAAGGGGGGGAAAGCTACAGTTTGGAGCCCTCTATGGGGCTATGAGAGAGGGAAATCGAGCCTTGCCTCTCTAGGAAAGAGACAACTATCTCTAATTATGAGCACCTACTATGTGCTGGGAGTTGTTTGCCAGAATGCATTTGAAATCTCAGGTGTAAGCCTCCACAGCTACTGGCATTTTCCATTTCACCCTTTAACGTGTTCAGAGATTTAGTGTAAAAGTGTGTTATCTCCAAACCTCAGAAGCAACCCACAGAAAGATGCAGGTTACAGAGCCTGACAGTCTCACATGACATGCTGATGCTCATACAGGTGGGTCATAAGGAAAGGTCATATTTTGGCTCCGGGAGCTGGGGACGTGAACCCCATTGTTTAACACATTCTGTGGCTTAGAAAGGATAACTAGAGAGAGTGGGTAGGATATTTTCTTCCTCACAGTCCTTGATAACTTTGGCATCCCTGGTTTTAGATAACACGCATGTGTATACACACAGTTAGGGGGACCTGATGGGCTGATAATAGACACCTCACTGCGTTCTGACAAGTGATGTAGGTGAAAGATGAGCAGCTCCAGCTGGATGCCTCACCTCATAGTGTCGTTGAGTCCCTTCTGCACAGAGAAGACCTGCTGCTTACTGACGGCTTGGGAAGCCTGAAATAGCTGGCAGACGATCTCACTGGACACTTTTGTTTCTAGTCCAAGCTGGTGCCCATTTGCACAGGCTTTGGCTAAAGACAGCTGAAGAAGAAAAGGCATGAAAATAAGCCAGAGGCAGCCACTGTTAGAGGCTTTCCATTTTCAAAGCAAAGGGCCATGTAAGGAGAGAAAAAGTGTCTACCCATTCGCCCTACTTAACCTGAACCTCTGAGTTTGTTCTTTTTTGAATAAGCAGTGTTATCACTTGATAAAACTTTTTAAAGGGATGAAAGGACTCGGGAGGTTGAGGCAGGAGAATCACTTAAGCCCAGGAGTTCAAGACTGCAGTGAGCTGTGAAGACCCAGTCTCTAAAAATAAATAAATACAGGCCCAGTATGGTGGCTCACACCTGTAATCCCAGTACTCTGGGAGGCTGAAGGGGGTGGATTGCCTGAGCTCATGGGTTCGAGACCAGCCTCAGCAAGAGTGAGACCCCCATCTCTAAAAATAGCCTAGCATTATGGTAGCTGCCTATAGTCCCAGCTACTTGGGAAGCTGAGGCAAGAGAACCACTTGGGCCCAAGAGTTTGAGGTTGCTATGAGCTATGATGCCACATAGCATATGTTGTCCTACCGAGGACAACAAAGTGAGACTGCCTCAAAAACATAAAAATAAAAATAAATACATAA